AATTATGGAATGAACTTAAAGAAGTTGTTAAGGATGAATGTGAAAAGAGACTGCCAAAAATAAAGAAAGAGAAGAAAGCAAACTGGATGTCAAAATAAACCATGGAAGTTGCCAAGAAGAGAAGAGAAGCCAAGAAAGAAAAAAACTCAGGAAGGAGCTTAACAAAGAGTTTCAGAGAGCCCTTTAGAAGACACAAGAAGCAGAATTACAACAACTTCTGTAAAGACATTGAAGATGGAAACAGACATGGAAAAACAAGGAAAGTCTTTCAAAAGATCTCTGAACTCGAGGTTGCAATGTTGAATTGGTATACTAAAGGATGCCAGTGGACAGAAAGTAACCGATTTAAAGGAGATCAAAAGAAGATGAAAGGAATATACTGAAACACTGTATAGTAGAGATATCAACATCCAAGATACCTTAGAAGATATTCCTTACTTACAGGAACCTTTAGTATTAGAAGACGAAGTTAGATCAGCATTCTGGTCCTTACCAAATTGGAAGGCTATAAGAACTGATGGAATACCCACCGAAATATCGCATGCAACAAGAAGAAGAATCAATCAAGGTTGTAACCAAGCTATGCTAGCAAATCTGGAGAACAGCACATTGGCCAATTGATTGGAAGAGATCAATTTACACTTTAATATCAAAACAAGGAGACTTAACAGAGTGCAAACTATCATACAATATCCTTAATTTCACATGCTAGCAAAATAACACTTAGGATCATCCTATGCAGATTAGAGCTCTACATGGAAAAAGAGATGCCAGATGTTCAAGCTGGCTTTAGAAAAGGCCAGAGAACACGAGACATTGTTGTTGATGCCCACTGGATAATTGAGAAAGTCAGAGAATCCCAAAAAGAGGTCAGCATGTGTTCCATCAATTATAGAAAAGCCTTCTATTATGTTGATCATGTCAAGCTGTGGAAAGTGCTCAGAAAAATGGGAATCCCAGAACATCTCATTGTCCTCATGAGAAAATTATATACAGGTCAGGAGGCCACAGTACAGACAGAACATGGTGAAACAGACTGGCTTCAGGTTGACAAAGGAGTTCGACAAGGCTGCATACTCTCCCCTTACTTATTCAATCTATATGCTGAATGTGTATATTAAGGGAAGCTGGATTGGAAGAAGATGAGTGTGGTTTTAAAATTGGAGAAAGAAACATCAGTTGCCTGCACTAAATTGATGACACTACCGTAATAACTGAAAATGCAAAGCATTTGACTAAAAGTCAAAGAGTACAGTGAAAAGACCAGACTAATGACAACAGGTAGAACAACCAGCCATAGAATTGACAATGAAGATATCAAAGTGGTGGATAGCTTCTGCTTTATAGGATCAACCATCAACAGTAAAGGAACAAGCAGTCAAGAAATATGCCGCAGACTAGCACTTGGTAGAGCAACCATGAAGGCCTTGAAAAAGATATTCAAATGCCATGATGTGTCTCTACCTACAAGTATCAGAATCGTGCAAGCCATGACAGTCTATGGAAGTGAAAAGTTGGACTTTAAAGAAGCAGGTTAGGAAGAGTATTGACACCTTTGAACTTTGGTGTTGGAGAAGACTCCTGAGAATACCATGAGCAACTAAGAAAACAAACCAATGGATTATTGAACAAATCAACCTAGAGTTCTCACTTGAAGCACAAATGACCAGGCTTAAATTATCCTAATTCAGACCCATGTTGAGACCCAGCTCTCTGGAAAAGGATCTAATGCTGGGAAAGATGGAAAGAAAGAGAAGAAGAAGACAACCAGCAGCAAGGTGAATGGACTCAGTTACACTGGCAATGAGTGCACTGTTGGGAGACTTGAAAGAACAGGTTAGGGATAGGTCATCATGGAAAAGATCTATCTATGTAGTCACTAGGGGTCAAAAACAACTTGATAGCACATAATCATAATTACTATTTTTTTACCCTTCAGTTAAAAAAAATCTGAAAACCTCTTTATTTCAATAGATTAGTAATTAAATAGAAGAATTTGGCCAGTCTTAATAAAATGAGATACAAATGAAGTATTTTGTCTATCCTAAAGTTTCTTCATAGTTTGGCAAATAAATTAGGAAATCTTCAATGAAAAATCCTTTTTTGTCTGAATCAAGAAACTACATTACAAATTTGGAAAAGGCATTAAGTCTATTATGATTGTCTAGGTCAGAGGAAAAGGATAACTGGTTGCATTCAATATCACATTAAACAATGCTGGTTTTAACCATGGTATGTTAACCAAGCCTAATGGACTGCTTCATATATAACAATAAGACATGGTTTACAAACCAAAAGGGTTGAATTACTCACTGAGATGAACTAAATTAAAATAGACCACATTATACATAGCATAGTGCGTGAACCAGCCATATAGTTAACTAAAGGCTTCCTAGTTTGGCTTCTACCTTGTAAAAAGGGGCTTCCAGCACAACCAAAATACTTACTTATATCAGAGTTTATTAAACTGATATGACAATCTAAATAATATAATTGGAATAGAGAAGATTTCTTCCAAGGCTTTTTCTATTCTGAAAACTTTGCTCTCACTGTTTTTTATACCTTTTAGTTAACAAGAAACTCTTTTCTTCGCATTCAGCATGTTTCATCCTCAGAGGAATTTTTGTTTTATCATGACAACAGTTTTGATTTTGAAATTGATTTTTCTTATCGCCAAATAGTTGTATAAACAATTACTGTGATAGAAATAAGGCTGGAGTTAGATGGAAATAGACCTTCAGATCATCATTGCTTTCAGCTAGTTGTTCATAATTTGAAGATATTAGTTGTGCATGCTCCATTTTTCATAAATATCCTTCTTTTTCTTTATAGAAAATATCCACATAAAAGTTATCAGGTGAAAGAAGCAGAATTGTAGCTTTTCTAGTATTCTGGGGAGGCTGGAAAACTTATGGTGATGAGTGTTTAAAATCATTAATCTTGTCTCGTTTCCCTATTCTAGGATGATAGCTACATGGACTTCATGCAAGAGACTCATCATCTTCCAAATAACTATTTTATATCAGGATTACCTCAACCAGTGATATCCAAAGAGATTCTTCCCAAAATGACATCCAAGAGTCCTGAAAGCAGGACACACAAAATCTATACAAAAAAAGCTAATGAAGAAATATCACAGTGTACAGAAGATTCTGTTGTGATAATGGATAAGACAAATAACATTCAAAGAAGCTTGTTGCCTACTTCTTGTTCATCCCCTGTCGGAAACCTACCTGAACCCTGTAAGGAATCATCTAGGGTATCAAAAGGTGTTTCAACCAGTGCATTAAGAAGTTCCATGAGTAGAAAATCTCTAAAAGAAATCCAGCAGGAGTATTCAAATCCAATAGTCCAAATTCCTGTAAGTATTTTTATAAATCTTGTTTGAATAAAGAGGATATTTAAGATTCTGCATCTTTGCATCTATTAATATCATTAGCATTTTAGAAAGCATTACCATGGGATAGAGCAAAGATCAATTATATGGAAAGGGAGGAAAACTGCCAGATTGATCCATAATACGAAGATAAATCAATTATAAATTAAGTTTAAAACACAGGGCAAGATACATCCATGGCGAATAGGACTACTAATTAGGATCAAGAATGGTTAGCAATGTAAGTACATAACCTCCCAGGCACACTAAATCTGGCTAGAGGATAAATGTAAGTAAATAGGCCTTAGAATGGAAATATAGTGTTTTTTATAGCAAAGAGAGCAAATATCAAGACTTTTTTTTTTAAAGAAAGCAAACTCTTACATTGTTTATCTGCCATGGTTTGTCAGTCCATATGCCAGGATTTGTCAGGGGCTGACAAAAGCTTATTCCGGATAATGAAATATTTTCTACAAAAACAACCTACTTCCAATCTGTCCAATTGTAATTTGGCATTTCTTAGACTAATGACTGAAAGAAGAAGGTAGAAAGATTAATGAATTCCTTTAACCAGTTTTAAATATAAAAGAAGTTTCTTAGAACAATTGGAGATGCAAAAGGATTTTGTTCATCTTTAAGATGATAGGTGTTTCCACACTTGTATCCTGCTTATGGATTTCCTCTGGCTATCAGGTTAGCCATAATATAAATAAGAGATGGAAAAGATTGAACTTGGTGTGATGTAGGACATTTCTCGTCATACCCCTGAAATATTTGGTTTATTTTCTTAATTGAAATCTTAGAGGTCAACATTTACCTTTTGCACTACCCTAAAGGCTTATGGAACTGGAATGTCAGGTGACTAGTTACATGCCACAGTAAAGTTCCTTTGGAAGAGATTTTGCAAACACAAAGGAAAAGCTATTTGTTCTCTGACTGAATGCCACATTTTTTGGTTGAGAAGGATATTTTTTCCAATTGTTAGATTGGTAATAGGCATGGAATTTGACTGATCAGTTGCCTCTCTGGAGTACCTGACTTGGTTTTTGTGTTTGTACCACCTGAGGTTGTCTGCCCTGCAAGCATTATCACATGTAGTTTGGGTAAGCCAGTAGGGGCTGGAAATTATCTCCTATAATGCAAATTTAACACACCACATACAGTAAATATAGGCAAGTTAATTCAGCTATTCACTCATGGCATTTTCTTCTCACGGGGCTGTCAGGAATGAATAGCATTTTCAAGCAAATTCTACTTGCTAATAATATATACAAAGGGGCAAGCAAAATACCCAGCACCATAGATTGTTGTCCTTTTCGTGAAATGTTTAAACCTCCATTGAAATGTTTTCTCTTTTGAGCAAAAGAAAGAGGAAAGACTGGCACGAGTGTGCTGAACACGCCCCTTTCTTATTAGCGTGCACCAGCCTTTCTCTAGTATGTTATGATGGACAGCTACTTAGACTTCTCAAGTAGGGAAAGCACTTCCTGGCATGGATAATCCCCAGGGTCTGGTTCAGTTTCAGCTCCTTTGTCCTTATTTTTCAAGTCGGTGTTTAATTCCTCTTGCAATTGCTATCAAACAAAATAGAGGAAAAAAGAGAGAGAATTAAGTTTCATGACAAAGGGCAATGGCTCAAACATCTAAGTGGGGGGAAAGGCAAGATTATTGTAGTTTTAAAGGCAAACTTCTGAAGTCAGTGCGTCACCAATTCAGGTTCAGTTTGAAGGGGAAGAAAATTGATAGAATTTCAGTAGCAATCTGTGGGTGAACTCCTAAGATCATTCGTCTCTGCACCTCATAGCATTGCTGCAGCCAACCCCCCCAAAAATAATAAATGAAGCAATTGAAGGATAACAGTAAGATAGTGTCATACTCCAAATCCCCAAGCTATCTGGGGAGTTGTACTCATGTCCATCTAATTCTCCTTCTCCTGGTTTTATTCCCCACCTTATATTTTACTTACAGCTGCCATGAACAACTTAATCCACCATTTTATGCTTTACTTATCTGATATCTAGATTTCCCCCTTTCTAGTGATATGTTAACTAGTCTGCAATGGATAGGAAATTTACAGAGTTTTTAAATGGTTTGTGTTCTGAGAATATTCACTCTGAACTGTCAGATTCTTATGATATGATTGGACAGTTCAATGTTTTCCTATCTAGAATATACAGTATTATTGTAATAGCTCCTGACTTTCCTGTTCCATTTCTACCTGGCTATATCTTTTAATGCAGAGAAGTCAAGGCATTGAAGTTTTGATTCTGTAGGCATCTCAAATAGAGGCCCAATTTTGTTAGTCATCTCTGTCTCTCTCTAGATCCGTGTTTACTCCTTGTTTTGAGTCTTTAATAGACATTCACATTCACCGTTGAAGTCCATGTACATGTGGTCATGGTCTTACAGCTAACAAATGTTTATTTTCTATTTATTTTGGAAAATGACCATGCCTTCCATTCCTGTAATGGTTCTAGGCAGTTCCACAAAAATATTGAACACATCATTAAAAACACGAAATATAAAACAGTAAAAATAAAAAACATGAACATTGTAAAACAAGTTCTGGATAAATAAGTATGTTTCTGTATCATCCTAAATTATAAGAAAGAGGCTTGCTTCAACTCCAGTAACAGTTTGTTCCATAATATCAGTCATGTTACGCAACTGCAGTGTTCTTTTTGTGAGCTTTCCACAGGCAAACTGCTTGACCAGAGTTGAACCAATTGTGGGATTAGAATGACCTCTAGTACCTTTTTGCAGAAATCAGTATCCAAGCAAAGCTTCTCCAGTGAAGCAGTTGACTGTTGGTTAGGAATCTATGTTGAGAAAGATGAGCTGAACCTATCCAAATATGTGTTGATCTATTGTAATCAATTGATTACAGTGGACTGGATCAAAGTAGTTTGGAAGCACAAGTTTTAAGCCAAAACAAGTAAATTCTTCTAACATGGATGGGTTTTGAGACCTCAGAAGCCAGTGATGAGCCTGTTAGTAATTATTAGTATATTCACATTTTCTAAAAAAAGAAAGGAAAAATCTAGAAATAATTCTTTTATACATAAAAGTTTCCTGAATGCCTGGAGGATTGACCAGACAGTTGCAATTTACAAGCATGTTATAGTTCCTCGACTTTTTCCCTCCTCTTTCAGTACTAGAGGAAAAGGTGAAGCTGTTTCCATCATTGGCTTTTGCGTCAAAGCACATAAGCACTAGGACCTTAAAGAGAAGAACTCCCTGCTAATCCCCTCCTGCATATGATTGGCAAAAATGTTCAAACAACTCTTAATAAAATCTATTTGCTCACTACTTAGTAAACTTTAAGGACTTGCATGCTTGCAATGTTTTATTCATGTTTTAATAGAGTTCTCTATTATTAAGTTCAAATATTTTTAATTAAGAAAGAAGTGCGGTCCTCTGGGTAATATTGCAACCAAGTAGATAGCTGGTAATTAAACTTTTCTGCACATGTAACTAAATTTAAACAATTCTGAATAAATCATTTGAACCTGGGAGAATGCAAATGTCATTATGTGCATCTCTAAACTGGAAAAAAATTATCTTTGATAACAGGTTTTGTCAATCTGTTGAATGTTTAAGAGCTTAATAAAATGCTTCTCATCATAAAGAAAGGATAGAGAGAAAGAGAGAAGATAAGCTTTTAATTGTCAGCTAAAGTATTACATTCAGAAGAACCGTGAATGCCACATGGAATTACATTTTGCATTAAATGTCCCGTTGAAAATAAAAAATGGACTTCGGTTTAAGTAATTTTTTTAAATTTCCAATTTCTATTTGGCTGTCACAAACAATGCAAATATAAACTAGGATTATATCTCAGAAAAGCAAAAAAAAAAAAATCAGAAATCTCATTTCTAAGTACCATTTCTATGAGATAGTCCATTTCAGAAATTGAAGAAATTTCCTAAAAAATATATTATCAGATTACAGTCCGAATCCTGTGTAGGTCAAGAGTTTCTATTCCTGGAAAAGAAACTGCTTTGTTTCTTCTAGTCAAGGTCTCAGCATTCCATTTCCCTGGTTCACAGTTTCTTTGTATACTTTCATACAGCTAAGAAAAATGTGTAAAAGATCTGCTCAAATTCTATCCTCCAAAAGTACATACATCATCTTGAGCTGGTTTAAGTTGTTTGAATCCTAGTGATGTATAGTCTCAAGCTGTTGTACCTAACAATGCCATTTTTACTTAATATTATTTATGTTGTCTCAGTAACATAAAAAATAAAAATCTGTGTTTCATAAGGGGATCCTCAAAACTATCATCCATAGTACTGTATATCAAGGTAGCTTTTAAGACTGAATGAGGGAGTAACCTTTATACTTCCAATGTATCAAAAAAATCACTGCCAAATGAAACTTTGTGGATATATCCATACAGTTGCCTTAGCAACAATACAGAATGTTTTTTTGGTTTCCCGGGTGGGCAACAGCCCTGAAATTGCCTAATTATCACCCATCCTAGTAGTAACCAAGCTGAACCCTACTTACCTTCAGAGTCCAAATACAGATGAGGCCAGCTAGGTACTGCCATCAAAATAAGATAAATGAGAAAAATGTTCACAAAAAACAAAAGGGAAGAGATCTGGGAAATTTAAAAAAAGCTTTTACAGATGTAGTATAGCAAGAAAGGAACAAATTACTAGTTCAGGAATGGGATTTACCCATAACTGGAATGTAACTGAGCAATGTAATAAATAATACCTCATTTCCTGGAATAATTCCTTTTGCGTTTTTGCACTTCCTACCTACCTACCTACTTCCTTCTTTGTATTCATTATTGATTTTCATATCAAGCCTACACATTAGCTGGATATAATTTCTCCTTCCTTAGGCTTAAAAGTGAATTGTTTCCTGTGAAAAGATGAGGTGAAACAGAAAACCACACTATATGCATTTGGTCTCTGCTTGTGGTATACTTAGATCTGAACTGCATATTTGGCAACAGAAAAGGGATGTAGGTTGTT